TAGAGTGTCTCACCGTCCCCTGGGATGATGTATCCCACTGAGCCCGGGTTGGGCAGAACTGAAGCAGCCCAGCATTTAGATTACCTTAAACGTTGTCGATGTGCCATAAAATACTTCCAATTACTGTTACTCTTACGTTTTATAGTAGTGTATTACGAGAGGTGAGGAGAAGTCAAGAAGCTTTTGTTATCATTATTTTATTAAGTTGTCTGTGAGACACATTAATCATCTCCTTTTTTAGAGCTGACATACTGTTTATGATTTTGATAATAGTTATAAATTCCCTCTTCAAAATAACAACAGAAATAATAACATTATGCTTCCGCATGCTTCTATATATAGGTCGAACAGCTGTTGTCTGTTTGTTAATATTTTTTGTTATTGTTTCATTTCAATCTTCAAAGAGAGACATAAATCTTCTACCTTTACCCCATGGCAGAGCTGTAATTCTGCGTATGATGTTGATATAGTTATGGAAATTACTCCAGCAATATAACGACTATAACATTAGTATGCAATCATAATATACTTCTTTCTATAAGCCGAGCAGTCGTTGTCTGTTTGTTAATATTTTGTTGTTGTTATTGTATTATTTCAGTCTTCAAAGAGAGACCCCAAAAAAATCTACTACCGTTATCTTGTGGCAGAGTTGTAATACTGTAAATGGTTTTGATGTAGTTGTGAAGATTACTCCAGCAATATAACGACAACAATAATATATGATGCATTGAGGTGAAATCAGGCGCTCGTCAGAATAATGAAATCCGAGAAATCAGCATTTTTCGGCCAGTTTGGGATTATTTTTTTCCCAAAGTTTGCTTTTTGGCTCAACACCTTGAATGTCAATTCAAAACATTTTTATATGTAGATCTAATGGGAAAACGTTGATTAAAGGCAAAACTTATTTAAATTTGCAGTTTCCAAGCACTTTTCAGCTATGAAAGTCACATCACTTTGGCGGCCATTTTCTCACTGATTATACCTCTGAAATCAGGCGACCCCCGCCTCCTTCAATCAGTAATATTTCGACTTCTATTCAAGATAGATGGATATTTTTTTCACCTAATGCAAGGCAAATAAACCGGCTCTAAGAATGGGATGATATCAATAACTCCATATGCCCATAAACTGACAGCGATTGATTCCATCACGTAGTAACACACATTATGCTATCATGGACATGCCTCTGTGCCTAAGTCTAGCATCTGATTCTGTTGCCTGTTTGTTAATATGTATTGTTGTTGTTATTGTTGTTATTGTTGTTGTTGTTGTTGTTGTTGTTGTTGTTTTATTTCATTCATCAAACAAACACATAAACATTATTAATGTGCTGTTTTCTCGCAACAGGGCCAAAACGCTGTTTTGATTTTCTATTATTATATACATTTAAAGAATCCCAAGACTACCATCAGACAGTAACATAGCAGCGAAAGAATTCAACCAGAGACCATAGATGAATACAGAGGAAGAGGCAGGGCCAAAAATAGATAGATAGATGAATGGACAGGAGGAGTGGGTGGTTGGCGGGTGCTCTGGTGTGGTTTGCTTCTTCTTACCTGTCAAACATCTATCGTCCTTATCTCCCCTTCTTCTTTTTTATGTTTCTTACTCTCTTGCAACAGCTCTAATCTTCTGGCGCTCATATGACCTTATGCAGTTGCGAGCACCGTAAAACTTCTACTAAAACCCAATTAAAGAATACAGAGGAGGAGGCAGGGCCAAGAATAAATAGATAGATGAATACAGAGGAAGAGGCAGGCTCAAGAATAGATAGATAGATGAATACAGAGGAAGAGGCAGGGCCAAAAATAGATAGATAGATGAATACAGAGGAAGAGACAGGGCCCAAGAATGGATAGATAGTGGGGTTCAGAGAAACTTTAGACAAAAACAATATCATAATCATGCAACAGGTGATACAACAAACAAAAGAAAGACGTTTGCTTCTCCCCCTCAACACCGTAGTAAGGTAACAGGGACGGGGGAAAAAAGAAAAGCATGTACAGTATACACATTCCTCCAACAATATAACAACAATCTGCTCTCACATGCCTGTGTGCTTAAGAGGACCAGCCGCTGCCTATCATTTTGAGGGCAAAAGCTCTCAATGGCGGGTATGGATGGGCTCCTGTCTTCAAATCCTAGCAAAGTCGACAAGGGGAAAAATGCAGAAATGGTGTGGAGCGGCCTGTGTTTTATAATTTCTCAAGCAGCGCTTACAAATATCTCGGGCCCTCTCTTTTCCTCGGCTTTGTTAAACGCGTGGTGGACATCTAAGGGTTTTGCTCGTTAGGAGAAGGGTGAAATATTTCCTGGAAGAAGAGGTTATGTGCAGTTTTGGTAGAAATTCATTTGTTTTTCGTTTTTTTTTTACATTTTGTTACTTCCTACTTTTCGAGAAACTGATTATTCATGCTATTCCCCCTCCCCCCTCCCCAAGAATATAAAAAACATACTAACAGAAAGAGCACACGCAAACATGCACAAGCACTCGCAGACACAAATACGCACATTAATCCACACACGCTCAGAAAACAAACACATACGTATACTCATACTCACAAATCTAATATTATTCACACGCATACACAAACGCATTCACAAACACACATACACCCCCCCCCCTTCCTCCCACACACACATATATACACACGAGCAATGATTCTTGAAAAAAAAAAGACTTACACTCCAATGAAAGAAATCAATCAGCAAATAAATTTTACACACCCAAAAGACTCTTCTCGGCGAATAGGTAAATAAATAAATTATTCAATCCTTCCAGTCTTTAGAATAAATAAATAAATAAATAAATAAATAAATAAATAAATAAATAAATAAATAAAATAACGAAAGAAAGAAGGAAAGAAAGAAATATGGTTGGTAACTGTTCCCCATTAAAAACCCACCCCGTCCCACAAAACGCAACGAATAGGTAAATAAATAATTAAATAAATGACCAAACGGATAATTACAAAACTAATTTTTTAAGAGGCCAACAAATACAGTTGATTAATTTTAAAGTTTTATTATGTAGAACCCTACATTTTGACAGCAACACATGACATGAAACACCTGTTTAGATTAGAAGCGAGAAGTCTGAAGGGAGAAAAGAAAAATAAACAGAGCAAGAGCTACAAATCTCTCAATGACTACCTTGTGGCAACGTTCTCTCTTGCTCTGTCTGGCACTTTCTATCTCACTCCCTTTCTCTGTCTGTCTGTCTGTCTGTCTGTCTGTCTGTCTGTCTGTCTGTCTGTCTGTCT